TTAAACAAGCTGTAAAGAAGCTCTATGATACCGATGTGGCCAAGGTCAACACTGTGATTAGGCCTGATGGAGAGAAGAAGGCCTGTGTTCGACTTGCTCCTGATTATGATGCTTTGGATGTTGCCAACAAAATTGGGATCATCTAAACTGAGTCCAGCGGGCTAATTCTAAATGTAATAAATTTTTCTCACCAAAAAAAAAGAACAGTTCACGTTTTTACCTCACTCTACCTTTATTTCCTTGTTGCTTATTGTCATCAACTTGGAACGAATTCATAGCTGGCCCTCCACTAGGTTTCCGAGGCTGTAAATCACACGGGAGGAGAGTGCCCACCTTTCTATCACAGGGAATCACCAGAGAGGCTTGGCCTTTGGGCTGTCGGTGCAGATCCCTATGGGCTGCACAGTCAGTGCTCCCCAGTAACCTTGTCGTGATCTATAACTCTTGATGGATTTTTGATAGCCTTTATTTATGCCGCAAACTTCGAAGAGACACCTGATGCCTCTTTTAAGTTGAGACCTGATAACTTCACCCCAGAGATATGGAACAGAGGACTTGACACGTGGTTACATCTAGACCCCCTTTCCCCAAGGATTCACCCAGGACCCACTTTATTTCCCAAGCATCATGACAGCTCATGTGAATGCTGCCCGCCGGAGAAGCTCATTATCAATCCCAAGTCGGGGGTGTTTATGCAGGGGGGCGTTAATGGGCCCTTAATGAACTGAATAAATAAATGCTTGTTTTGCTTTTTAAAAACTGGGGAAAAAAATTGAAAGGTATTTGTATTGCATAAATCATTGAAAGTACAAAGTTTGATCATTCAACTTCCAGCTCCATTTCGGTCACCAAGTCCATACATTCCAGCTACCATTCCTTCTTCACTGTTTCTAACTGTTGTTGCATTCCAGTCACCAAGTATCGTTAACACATCTTGATTGTATGTTTGGTCAATTATGACCCTCCTGGCCACGTGCCCAAGATATGAGACTTGTTTGTTGTTGTTACGTGCCGTCAAGTCGCTTGCAATTCATAGCGACCCTATGTACAACAGCCCTAAACTCCGCTCTATCCTGTGCCAATCGCACTGTCTCTGACACTCCCATCCCGATTATCCCAGTCACTGAATCAATCCACCTCATAGAGGGCCTTCCTCTC